CCCTGCCTCCTCCTCCAGCACTCATGGCTCTGCACACCCGCCTCCTGTGCACACCGGCCTCCTGCGCACACCCGCCTCCTGTGCACACCGGCCTCCTGTGCACACCGGCCTCCTTGCACACCGGCCTCCTGTGCACACCCACCTCCTGCGCACACCCGCCTCCTGCGCACACCGGCCTCCTGCGCACACCCGCCTCCTGCGCACACCCGCCTCCTGTGCACACCGGCCTCCTGTGCACACCGGCCTCCTTGCACACCCGCCTCCTGCGCACACCCGCCTCCTGCGCACACCCGCCTCCTGCGCACACCCGCCTCCTGCGCACACCGGCTCCTGCGCACACTCGCCTCCTGCGCACACCCGCCTCCTGTGCACACCGGCCTCCTGCGCACACCCGCCTCCTGCGCACACCGGCCTCCTGCGCACACCCGCCTCCTGTGCACACTGGCCTCCTGCGCACATCCGCCTCCTCTGCATACCCGCCTCCTGTGCACACCGGCCTCCTGTGCACACCGGCCTCCTGTGCACACCGGCCTCCTGTGCACACCCGCCTCCTCTGCACACCGGCCTCCTGTGCACACCCGCCTCCTCTGCACACCGGCCTCCTGTGCACACCCGCCTCCTCTGCACACCCGCCTCCTGTGCACACCGGCCTCCTCTGCACACCGGCCTCCTGCGCACACCTGCCTCCTCTGCACGCTGAGTCCTGTCCCATGCCTCTCCTTACACGGCTCCTTCCCTCGGCTTGCAGTTCCTCCCCTTCTTTCCTTTGCTAAGTGCTACCTCAAACTTTAAGCCTTGGTTCAAATGCCTCTGTGGAAAAAACTACCCAAAATAGGAGAAAAACAAATAAAAGAGGCCATACTGTATCAGGATTTAAGCCTCTGCTATGGCTTTTTGAACTTTAACCTAAGGGAGGAAAACATGTCACTGATGGATTTTAAAGCATAAATTATACACTCAGATTTTTTATTTTAAATTATCACTGTGGTTGCTGGGTAGAAAATGAATTAGAAGACAAGAGAGAGAGTGAATTGTAGACTACTCAAGCAATTTAAGCAAAAAGAATTGGTGACATCAGCAAACAACCAACAGGGACAGCAGAAAGCATTTCTGTAATTGTTTTTTTCCCCCTAAGTAAATCTCTCTCCCAATTGTCAACTCCCTGAAGGCAAAGAAATGATCTGTTGACTATCCTTCATCCCACAGAAATTAGCAAAGTGACTGACGCACACGTTGCAGGAATTCAAATATTTGTCGAATACATGGATATGTAATTAACATTTAATCTGTTACATTGAGGAGAAAGGATTATATGAAGACACACCTGCTGTGGTCTCAATGTTGGGACCTCTACAGATTCCTCTGTTAGAACCTAATCATCCACCTGACGATGCCAAGAGATTGGTGTCCCGACAAACGGGACCTGAGTTCATCCTCCTACCAGGTAAGGGCGCACAGCTCCATCCATGAAGCAGAAGGCCCCTGCTGGACATGAAGTCTGTGGCGCCTTGACCTTGGACTTCCCAGCTCCCAGAACTGGCGGAAGTAAATGCTAGTATTTATAACTCCTACAAGGTATTCTGTTTCAGCAGCCTAAACCAAGATAATACCAATATCCGCAATGAATGCATTAAATACTAAGACAGCATGTGAAAAGCAATACCGAAAAACTGGTATAGGAGTTTAGATGACTTAATCGAGCCCAGAAAATAAAGAAATCTATTACAGAAAAGGTGTCTTTAGGGACAGGTCTGGAAGAGGTAGGTTTTTTTGTGTGTTTGTTTCAGTGCTGGGAATTGAGCCCAGAGGTTCAAATATGCTGGGCAAGCACTCTTATCCATGAGCTACATCCCTAAACCATTTTCAGTGTTTATTTTGAGACACAGTCTCACTAAGTTGCCCACGCTGGCCTTGAACTTAAGACCTTCCTGCCTCAGCCTCTCAAGTAGTTAGAATTAGAGGCATGCACCACCATGGCCAGCTAGAATTTTTTCAAGTGTATAATTTTATAGACTATCACAGAGGTTTGCAATCATTACTTTCCAGAACCTTTTCATCACTTAAAAACAATAAAACAAAAAACCCGTGCCACCTCCCACTCTAAACACGAGGTACCCTCGGTCTGCATGGCCTCTGTCTGCCCACTGCAAACACTGTGTGTGCACCGAATCACGTGCACATGGAGCTTGGGGACTGCGCTCCCAGGTGCACTCGGACATGTCCAGCACAGCCTATACTTCACGCCCTGTCATGGCCAAATCACAGCCTATGACGGGCACTGAGCACATTTTAATCCGTTAATCAGTTGATGAACATGTGGTTGTTTCTGCCTTTTGACTGTTATGAGTAATATTTCTATGAACACTGTTGCACATTTTTGTATTAAAACTTTTTTAGCATAATTTCTGTAAGAAATATGGATTTTCATAAAGCTAAATTTATTCAAATTAAAGTACTGTCCTTTATCCTGAGACAATGTCCTTAAAGTGGAATTGTGTTAAAACACCCTTTCAAAAAGGAAATGACCATATGAAATGGTTGTTTTGTTAATGTGCTGGTTTGGTAAAATGATACTTAAAATGTATTTTTCTCTTAACTCCAAAAATCTAAAAGAGCATTGTTTAAAGGAAATACAAGATACCGCTAAGGAAAACCAGGAGGATTTCCCCCTGGAGTTGAGGTTACACATATAACCAGGAGGGGAGATTCCAGACTGAAAGGCAGACTCTGGACACCAGGCTGAGGAGTTTGGGTAACATCTTACCAAGGCAATGAGCACATTAATCAATTTGTTTAAATATAAAATTATTGACTGAAAGAAAGCAGTGGGCTAAGATAAGAAAAGCTGAATTTGGTGCTGTGAGTCTTGGTCAATTCAAACAGGCTTCCCACTGATGTTCCCAAAGCCAACACAGACAAGACTGAGAGCTCTCAGGGCAAGACCAGCACTTCCCGCGCAGCCTCTCTCTCCGCACGCTCCTCCTCAACACACTCTAACTTGGCTTCTAAGTTATTAGCGGTTATTAGCAGCTCCTCTGCAGAGTCTGACATGAGTTCTTCCACCGCTGCACAATTGTGAGACACTAAGAGTACTCAAGGCTCAAGCCTCAAACTGTCTCTTTAAAACTGTACTTTTTTGTGATAGTGGGGATTAAACCAAGAAAGTGTTGAGCTGTATCTCTATCCTGTTTTACTTTTTTACTTTGAGACGGGGTCTGGAAAAGTTACCCAGCCTGGCCTTGAACTTTCACAGGCGTGTCCACCAGACCCAGTTCACCCTCACTTTCTTAATCTTCTGCAGTCTCATGGGTCCTCTTGGAATGCAGCTCCACATGGGGTGGGATTTTTGGCTATTCGTTTATCCCTTACACCTAAAACAGTGCCTGGCATGTGGTGGATGCTTGCCAAATATTTGTTCAGTACATGGATGGATGAATAAATGGCTGCATATATTATCCATAAACTGTAACCCTCCAACTTATACTCCCTGCCTGGATCTGTGTCCTGAGCTCCAGCCAGGTCCAACTGCCTATTTGCTATCGCTACTGAGATGTGCAGAAAATATTTCAAACTTTCAACAAAGTGCAAACCAGAATGCCAAGCACCCTTCCAAATGCTTCGATTTCTTACCAAAGTGTGGCCTCATTCTAGCACCTCAGGTCAACAGCTGAAATCATTCCTAACGCCTTTTCTTTCTCTGACACCACACATCCAATCTACCAACCAATCCTGTGTGTCCTGCTTCAGCCTCCGCTTCTCACTGGCTCCCCGCAGTCCTTCACCTGGACGAAGGCAGTGGCCTGTTTCCTCTTCCACTCCCCAATTCAGGTGGTTCTCAAACCACAACCAGAGAGATTTTTTCAAACTGAAGTGAGGTCACGTCATCTTTCTGTTCATAATCCTGCAATTATACCTACTGCATTCCCAGTAAAAGCCCAAGTCTTGACGATCGCTATGAAGCTCTCTTGGGTCTGGCCCGATCGCCACTGGGACCTCAGGCCTCCCACTTTCCGTTTTCCACTTGGGGTGCTCTGCCCATCTCGGCTCGCTCCGCTGTTCCTTCCAAAGGTCAGGCCAGCTTCCACTGCAGGGCCTGTCCCCTTTCCATCCCCATACCCCGAATGTTTCGCTTCATCCTTCTCCTTCTGTCCGCAGGCACCTCCTCCGTGACTCTCACCTTGATCATCACACTTAAAGTCCACCCCCAGCCTCGTTTTCCTCGGCCTTACTTTCTCCACAGCACTCTCCACTGCCTAAAACACTAAACACATTACTTCCTGGAACATCCGCTTGCACGCGGACACGGCTTTTACTCTGTTCCTTCACTGCTACGTTCACGACACGAAATCGCTGCCTGACACGTAGGAAGCGCTGAGTAATCCAGCCCTCCGACAAACGCGTTCATCTCCACCGGGAGCCTAACCATCCTCCAGCCGGGTTTCTCCAGAGCAGCAGCATACAGCGTCTCTAGTATTTCTCCCAGCGCTGATACCTAGAAGGATCCTACTTTGCCTAGAAAGAAAAAACGGTGCTTTGTCGGGTCGACCACAAGGAGGAGTGCGGAGGAAGAGCTGAGAAAAGAGGAAACCAGCCGCGGCCGCTTCCCCTGCTCTGCCTACCCTCACCTCCAGGGGGAAGAAAACGGCTCTGGAACTCGCTGTACTAAATGAATGATTTCTTTTTATACTATCAAGTATGAGACACACAGAATCGTAAATGTTACAGCCACAACCCTTTCAAGGGCCGCAAAGGGGCGAAAGGACTCCGTCCCCGGGCCAGTAAGGTGCGGGGGAGGTCTTCTTCCTCTAACTCTACCACTAGATGCCCAGCAAACTGAGGAACGCGCTCAGACAGGCACTAAGTTGCCGCGAAGGCCGAGGCGCTCCGGTACCAACTCTCTCCGCCGGGGAGCCACGAGGTCGACTGTGGCCCCGATCCAGGGCCTATGACCCCGAACCGGCCCCCACGCCTCCGACCCTCCCGGGCGGCTGGACACTCACCGCCACCTGTTGATGCCCACGTTGGAGGAGCCGGCGAACCAGGGGTCAAGGATGTAGACGCAGCGGATGGTGTCGGCGCCCCGGATACACTCCTTCAGCGCGGGGTTGTCGTGGAGCCGCAGCCCCTTGCGGAACCAGTGCACGGCGTTCACCCCCATGCCAGGCGCCGCCGTCCGCCGCCCACTGCCCTCGAGTCAGGGGCTCGGGGCCCGGCGCATGCCCGCTGCGGGGGGGCCGAGGCAAGGGCAGCCGAGCCGGGTGGCCCGGGCTCGAACCCAGGTCCGCGCGCGCCGCCCTCAGGAGCCCGCGCCCGTCGCGCCCGCCCGCGGGACACGCATAACTCCACGGCCCGGGGCTCCGGCGGGCACCGACAGCACGGGGACGCGCGTGCCCAAGACCTTGCCGCCGCGTCCGCCCGAGGGGAGTCGCCGGACGCGGGCACAGAGACGGGACTGCCAGGCGGGGGTCGGCGGCGGGACGGAGCGCGGCGGGCACGGAGCGCGGCGGGGACGGTCCCGAGGCCGCCCGGGTGACTCCGCCGCCGCCGCGTCAGCGCCGGCCCCGCCCCCGCGCGCCGATTGGCTGGCGCTCCTCCCACGTGACGCCCGGCACCTCACGTTTCTGAAGTGTGTTTACTACGCCGGCTCCGGCCGGGCTCCCCGCGCGCGCTCAGCTCGCTGCCGGAGCCACCGCATCCCCCACAGTGTCTGCCCTCGCCCAGATGCCGGGCTGCCCCGTCCACTGCTCTCCTCAGGTGACGGCGCGCCAGCCCTCGTTCGACACCCGTGGCTGCCACAGGCTTGGGGGAGAGGGAGGCTGAGCCCCACCCCCGAGGGCTGCGAGCGCTCGCGATTGGCTGAAGCCCGCGGAGACCCGGATGAGCACGGGGCTTCAGGGAGCTCGCGGGCGCGCGCCTGGCCGGGCGGACGGGGAGGGCGGGCGCGGGGCACGCTGGCCGGCCGGGGACCGGGTGGCCCGACACGGTTGCTGAGCTCCGGGCGGGGGGAGGGACGCGGGGGCTTCCCGCCCACAGCGCGCCCCGAGTGCGCAACGGGGGCCTCGGGCGGGGCGGGACCCAGCTACCGAAGCCTCCGAGTCTCTGCGCCCGGCCTCGGGTTTCCAGCCCCTTAAAGATCCCGCTTGCCCGAGAATATGCTGCGGACCCTGCCTTACCCTACACATTCATTCTGCGATGCTCATCCGGGCGCTGCCCAGAGCGCTGGAGGTGCGGGCGATAAACGCAGAAACACCCCAGCCCAGTGGGGCGCACTGCTCTGCTTTCCCTTCTGTCTGAGCACCTGTAGCTGTATGAAGTGCCTAAGATAGTTCTCCATGCTTCCCGATTTGTGCAAATATTCCTTACCTATGGGGCAGATTTAGGAGCTCTCCAAGGTGTGTCTGACAACACTCACCGCCTTATTTTAAAGGGTAATGGAAAGGAACCTTAGCCAGGCTGGTGGAGGATCGCAGGCAGTTCAAGGCCAGCCTGGGCTACATAGTGAATTCAGTGCCAATCCAAAGTACAAGGTGAGGCTCGTGTCAGAAAAGAAAAGTACCTACTAAAATAGCAGTACCTGCTCGGTAATGGTTTTTATTGTCATAATAATGTGCTTCCGGTTTCTCCTGGGGTGTGGCCTCTCAGTACCCAGAACAGATAGATCCTAAAACACACGCTCACGAAGTTACAAGGAATAGGGCCACCTGTGTGTCAAAAGAGGAGGGGGAAGGGGAAGGGTGGCAATTAAGGACTGAATAGTCTCCGCTGGCAGCTGTGTGACCTTATTGAGAAATAAGGTTGTTAATAAGGTACACCCTAATCCAATACGATGTCCGTAGATAAAGAAAAGTTTGGCCACAGCAACAGATCTGCATGCAAGGAGAAAGGCTGCGTGCAGATCAAAGTTGGGGTTGGCTCCAGGCCAAGGAACAGGACAGGTGTAGAGAGGCCTAGAACCTTCCTTCCCAGTGCCCTCGAAAATTAATCAGTAAATCCAGGAACTTAGGGAGCTGATAATAGTCTTTTCTACCACTGCCTCAGTTGCCGTAGGAAATGTATATCATCCTCTGTTTCCATTAAACTATTCAGAACTTCGCATCTGAGGACTCGTGGTTCACTGTGAGGCATTGCACACGTGCCTTTTCTTTCTACTGCTGGACATAAATTTCAGGCTGTTCCCCTCGGTGCAGAATCTGTGGCCGCCAAAGCCACGCCCTCACTTGGATTGCATCAGACTCCAGCCCTGTGGTTGTGATTTCAAAACTACAAAGTTTATGCTTCATTCTGAACAGTTGGAAAGTAGGCACATTGTATCTCAAGATAGGCAAGTTGTTTTTAAATGAGACACAGGAGCTGCAGAGAATATTGGTCTCTGCAGAGTGGACTTGTTTTGTGGGTTGTTCATTCAATTAAGATGGGGTTTTTAAAGGGACGCCATGTGTAGAGGTGTTGGTGTAAATTTCACGTGAACATAAAAGCAATGGTTTATGTGAGTGGCTGCCCTCTGCTGTGTATTTCTGGATTATGGAAAATGTTTCCGTGACCCACCTCCAACCAGACCTCCGCTAACAGTAAGTCAGTTTGTAGCGGCTGCACAGCCAATCCCTGCAGACCCCAGAATTTGGGGACATTTTAAGCCTCAACTGTGGTCCTTTGATGAGTTTATGGCAGAATGGGGCCTACTTAGAGGCAGGTTCCTGGAGTGTAACCTGGAAGGGTGCATTCTTGTCTCTGTTTGGTCCCTTCTCTTTCTTCCTCCTGGTTTGTGGGAGACCAGGCCCTGCTCTCCTCTGGAAAACAAAACCCTAGCGGCAACTTGTCCCTGACCTCTCCTTTGCCGTGTTTACCGAGCTATGCGGAGCTGGCTGTATTGAAACAAATGTTCATGGCAGTAGAGGTGCCAGCCTTGCACACATCAGAACTATCTGTGCTTTGCCAGTCAGAGGCGCTGGGCCTGGCAGGGCTATGAGGTTTCATTTCGTTTCCTCATGACTCTAATGCGACCCCCACCCACCACCCTGCTTGCTCTCAGTAAAGCCATGAGCTTTTGGAAACCAGACCTTTTGTACTGCAGAGAACATTGGATCATTCCCCAGCTCCTCATGGCAGGATGTTTTCTCTTTGCCTTTCTTTGGCATCCCTGTGGTACATCGCTGGGTGGGTGAGATGGATCCCCTTAGCTGGGGTTTCAGTAACGGGCTGATGTGGGTATGGCAGCTTCCCCTGCCCTGCTTTCTGTCCTGTGTCCCTCTTGGAGCCCACAGAGCATGGGCTGAATCCTCCGAGAACTGTGAGCCAACTCAAACCTCTCCCTTTGAAGTCGAGGTGCTGGGTGTTTCGTGTTACGTCTCAGCAGTGAGGAGATGCATTGTCCGGATGTGGTTTGTCCTCCCAGGGTCCTGGTGTTGGAGCTGTGGGCCTCAGTGTGGCCATGTGAGCAGCCATGGGCTCCTCCGGGTCAGCCTGGTGGGAGTTCTAAGTCGCTCCTGAGGCGCTGAGGGATGCTGAGACCCCGGTGTCTGCCCCTGCTCCTGTCGCCCATGATCTCTTGTTCTGATCCGCACTCCCACCACACATCTGCCACCTGGAGGTCAGCCTCGCTAGGCGCCAGGTGAGCAGGGCTGCTGACCCTGGACTTCCACCCTCTCAAGTTAGGAGCCCACAAACCTCTTTTTTTTATAAGTTTATATAGCGTATGTTTTGTTATGGTAATGAAACAGAGACCAATACAGTGATTGTGACCCACTGACCTAAGCTTTCTTGGCATAAGTCATCTATACAGTGAAGGGATCAAACTTGATTTCTAAGTTTTCTATGCAGTTTAAAAATTCTCAGAACACAGCTGTGCCCTATGCTCAAAATATCTAAGCATCAGAGTCCTGTTAAACGTTCCTTTAACTGCCATCCCTGTTAGGAAATTTCTTTTTTTTTTTTTTCTTTTTTTTATTTTAAAGAGATTAAGACAAAACAGGACATAAAGCAGATCAAAACAGAACCATGTAAGCAACACAGAATTTCGCTAGAAGACAACCTGTAATTAACAGTAACTACCATAATGTCTCTTTCTTTGAAATAGTTGAGTATAACTTCATATACAATAGTATCAAACATAACAAAATAAAATAAAAACATTCAAAAGAATGCGAGTATTACAGGGCATTCAGAACCAAATGACAGAAAACAAACAATGGCTACTATATTATCTCATTTTTCTTAGAAAAATTTTTTATACTTTCACACATAAAACAATCCAATAAGGTACAACATGATAGAGCCAATGGAAACAGAAGAGCAAAAGCATGGTAGGACTTCAGAGTAAGATGATATTATATCAATACTGGCTATTATAATGACTTGTTTCCCTCAAATTAGCTGTTCATACCATTACAGTTAATAAAATCAAACAAACAAGGACAAACCCATTGCAACTAAGGCTTCAAAATAATGTAATGGGGAATCATGATTACCATAAACCTTATATACTCTTACTATTTAGGGAGACTATATGGTATTTATATATGTGAGTTTTATTTATTTCACTTATGAGTATGGTCTTAAGTTGTACCCATTTATTAGTAAATATCTCAATGTGATCATTCTTTATAGCTGAGTAGTACTCCATTGCATAAAAATACCATTCCTCAGTTTTTTATCCATTCCTCAGCTGATGGACACTTAGGTTGTTTCCAAGATCTGACTATTACAAATTGTGCTGCTATAAACATGGGTGCGCATATATCACTGTAGTATGGTGTCTTCAGTTCTTCTGGGAATATTCCTAGAAGTAGAATAGCTGGGTCAAGTGGGACCTCCAATCCCAGCTTTTTGAGGAATCTTCAGACTAACCTCCACAATGGTTGCACCAGTCTACACTCCCACCAACAGTGCAGTAGAGTTCCTTTTTCCCCACAGCCTCTCCAGCATTTGTTGTTGATATTTTTTTTTTTTGATCCTGGCCATTCTTTCTAGAGTGTGATGGAATCTCAGTGTGGTTTTAATTTGTATTTCTCTAATGACTAACGATGATGAACATTTTTTTATGTATTTATTTGCCATTTGTATTTCTTCATCTGAGAACTGTGTATGCATCTCAGATGCCCACTTTTGGACTGGGTCTTTGAATTTAGAGGGTCTGATTTTTTTAAATTTTTTATATATTTTAGACAGAAGACCTTTGTCTGAGAGACAGCTCACTAGGATTTTTCCCAGTTTGTAGGTTTTCTTTTCATTATGCTGGAGATTTCTTTTGACATACAGAAACTTTTTAATAAGATGTGATCCCAGTTATTGATTCTGGGAAGTAGTGGTTTGATTCCTGTTCATGAATTCTGTACCTATCCCAATGTCTTCAAGATGTTTACCAACTTTGTCTTCCAACAGATTTAGTGTTTCTGTTTTAATATTCAGATCTTTGACCCATTTAGATTTTAATTTAGTACATGGTGATAGACATGGGTCTAGCTTTAGTTTTCGGCAAATGGAGAGCCAGTTTTTCCAGCACCATTTATTAAAGAGACTGTTGTTTTTCCAGTGAACCTGCTTGGCCCCTTTATCAAAGACAAGGTGGTTGAGTGTGCTTGTAGTTGTGGTTGTATCTTCTAGTCTATTCCATTGGTCTTCGGCTCTGTTTTTATTCCAGTACCATGTTGATTTTATTACAGTAGCTTTGTAGTATAATTTCAAGTCAGGGATGTGATCCCTCCTGCCTTGACTTTGCTGCCTAGAACTGCCTTTGCTATTCTAGGTCTCTTCTGATT